TCAAAACCACCTAATTCTTTCAGTATTAAGGAAGATTATCTCGTCGGTGATGAGCCTGGTGCCGCTACTTGACAGGGGCACCGGGAAAGGTCATCTGACGTCATGTGACGTCATAAATCGTTTTTCTGTCAATAAATCACGACATGATGGTGCTAAAGACTTGTAAGTGGTACCAAACTGCTCGCCTGGTCAAGGCGCGTCGTTTGGTATGCAGCATGACCATACCCCACAACGATAGGCGTTATCACAATTCACAAGTGTATTCGCGGCAATTGGGGTGACGTAAGAAAAGAAGAAAACATCTGGCCCCAAGAACTTTTAATTATCAGTCAGCAAGCAAATTTTCCCTGATGTGTAGAGAATCTACGATTAATTATTACAGAAAATTGCATTTAAAATTTTCATATTGTGTTTTCCATCGTTTGAACAACATATTCTTTTACTAAGCTAGAAACACTGATTATAAATAGTTCCAGCACCATCGTCAAGAACAATAAGGAAGGCTTGAAGTGAATACAATAATCTAAACGGTTTTGTAAGGTGTAAAGATCACTTCTAAAATTGCCTGTAGAAATACTGAAGGCAAAAGTTCACCTTTTTCACAAGACGGATGTCTATAAACCTATTCAACGTGTGACAACTCAGCCGATATTTCGTCGCCTACAGCCCAGCTTTCCCTAGTGACCGCTAGAAACGCTATTATCGATGTCCACCCGTACCGCCTAACGACCTCATTAAAGGAAGACTGCCACCTTCAAAAAGTTTTCTCAGATCGGCCTATGATTTATTCCCTGGACAAAACAAAATTTTAGAATTCACCTGACAAAGTATCATCACGTGAATCGCGAAAAAAATTGTCAATTATCATACAATTATCAATCGGTTAATGTCTAGCGACAATGTTTACACATCACTAGAATTCAAGGTCATAAGATTATTACATTTTATTTGAAAAAGTAAGGTATTTTATGATTTTTTACTAATATATGATTTCATAAGAAATTGGCCATGCTTAATTTATTTTGCATTTAAGTTCGTAAAACATTTAAAAATCATGGCTCATTTGGAATGGGTCTGGCCCATGTTAAACCCCATTTCCCACACTTTTTTGGAAAAAATGAACTACTGAATATATAAGTTGAACTTTTATTTTGACACTCCAAAATTCTTCTCTGATCTCGAAACAATCAAAGTTTTGACATATATTTACCAAAAGATAAGAAAATTCATGTTTCAAAGTTATCGATAAACAGTAGAGATGTCGGTTTTCTTGGACTAAAAAAATGGCATCAAACTGAACTTTGGTCTCCGATTTCTCGCAAACGGGTTCGAATTTCGGAAAACCGACTTCAGTCTGGGACATAGGTGGCTCAGTTCTAGTGAAAACCGTTTTGTGGAAAAAAGGTGGCAGTCTACCTTTAATGAATGACCTGACCTTAACCCCGGGTCAAATTTCAAATTGACCTGTGAAGGTCATCGCATACTTTTCGCATCGTCTCGACGAGAGCAACACAAAATGTACTAATTTTATGTCTCTATGTGTCTTAGTTTAAAAGTTATATAGGTAACTAATTCCCAAACATTTTATCGTTGATGACCTCTGGTGACCTCAATATTGACCTGACCTGAAAATGTTTTTTTTTGTAAAAGTTGTAGATCTTTAAACGACCTATCAAACGCCGTTTGCCGTTTGTCGCTGCGATGCGTAGTTTTTTGAGATCTGAAGGGGGGGGGCGAATAGGCCCCCCGCCCAGAATCGAACCTTTCAGAGCCCGCCCGGAATAGGGTTAACAGTGTGTTTAAAAAGAAATTTCAAGGTTCTTTATCAAATGTGAGACATGAAGACACCTTTGAACTTAACTGTGAGCATGTTTTGCACATAATTGTATTGCAAAGATTGCTTACACCAGCTTTATCTATTTGCAATGGTAGCTTTCATACGACATTTGTGTATTGTCTTTCCAATGTTGGTATTTTGTATATATTTTTATAGCTCTGACAGGCTGACGAAGGAAGACTGAAGTCTTCTGAAAGCTATCATTACTAAAAAATAAAGCTGGTGTTTTGATTAGCGTCCCAAAATTTTATTTGGGCTTGGGTGTCGTAGGGAGATACTCCCCACTGCAGAGAGGGCTGACAGTGGAAAATCGCCAGTAAAAAAAGCACAAAAAAAAGTTGAAACAGGGATCATCAGTTTTTTTTGAGAATGTTGGAGAATGTGGGAGCTGCATAAGAAGATGATTCAATGTAATATGGATAATGGAGGTAGGTAGCCAGCCAGCAAATGAACGTGCAAGTGCTCTTTATTGGTAAAATTAGGAGTGAAAACAACAAGGCTATAGAACTCCAGAACTCCCAACCGTCATCTTTTTAGTGCAACAAAGAGAAGCGTTCAGAACGTGTCAATCGTTGAACAGCGGCGGACGCAGGGGGGCGACACGGCTATTCGCGCAATGTATTCATTTTTGCGCCTCGCGGGGCCTCGCGATGACGCGGCTGGAGGCAACTACTCAGCGCGCTAGGATACTTCTGGCGGTGTCGGGCGCTGTACGGTGTGCGATGAAAGGGTTATGGGCGGGCAGACAGAGATGAGGCATTTAATTTGAATTGACATCAGCAATCGGGTGGGGTTCTAATCGAGCTTGGGATGGGGAAAGCCGAAAATGTCACGGTCGGCTCAGAACTCCGACGGGGCCGGGCTCCGTGCGGTGTGTAGTATATTTAGGCGGGCAGACAGAGAATGAGCTATCGGATTTGAATTGACATTACCATCGGCTGTCTGGTGGGATTTGAAGACGTTTTTAGTAAAGCAGCTCGGGTTGGGGCAGCCCACTGGCGGATCCAGGGGAAGGCATTTGGGGCTAATGTCTTCCGTTCCCCCACAACAGGGGCACCGCCCGAAATCGCTTTTCGGGAATAAAACGAAAACTTCACAACTTTTCTAAGGGAATGCTGGTTAATCAAACTGCCAGTTACCAATTACCAAAAGCCAATTATGCTTGCCTATGTTCAGGCATTATCTCTGAAGTCTGATCGTTATCGCCCAGTACAGCATGTGTTGGCTGTCAACAACCATCGACGATGGGATCCCCTCTCATCATCTCTTAAACCATCGGTTGTCAATTCACCCACCCCGTTTCCCTAAAAATAGACTGTCAGATTCGGCCTGGGTCCTAACGACCCCTCTTGAGATTCGCCCGAGACCGGATCGGGTCGCCGTTATTGCACCCGTCTTAGCGTCCTTAGGTGCATAGACAGCTTCGACCACGGACGTCGGTCAGGGTGATCGTTCTACGAATGTACGCACCATCCAGGCCTAGGAGACATCGAGGTTTATAAGAATGCAGACTGTAGATCAACCAACATATCAATGGTGGTATGCAACCGCATTAAAACCTCTCCCCGGCACCTGCAACGTTCCAACACCCCTCCGTTATGCATTCGCCCGATGTGTCCACCGAGCCGGCTTGCCTCCGATGACGTCATCGGCCGGCCGGCGGCGTTCAAGGTCAAACGGCTGGTGTCCTTACCTGGAGTTCTATAGCCTTGGGCGGACGGTTCTAAGCTCTGGTGCTCATGAAATGGACTTTGGTCGAAAGGAACATTCAGGCTTGTATGGGGATGTTCGTGATGGTTCAGTGCACGACTGTAGCGATGATATGCTTCATCTTATTCTTTACTTCGACAGATTGTTCTTTACTTCTTTACTTCGAAGCAAATATCGAATCCTCTTGGAAACAAGACTAGAAAATACTATTTATTATTTATACTACTGTGGAAAATACAGTATAGGTGCTGTCTATTACCATCGCCAACGTGCGTTGTCGCTCCAGCAAGCATCACGTCTTCTTGGGGTCTCTCTTTTACGCAGTGGACCTGACAAAATATGGATGGGAAACTGATCTCTCGCCAATGCTGAACGAGCTGAGCATCTTGGAAACAGTTGGTTTCACATACCAAAAACAAAACGCTACGCGAACCGTTAAATGCGTTTTGGCGATGATTGTCGGTGACAACAAGGGAAGCCACCAGATCGGGGGTTATTTCACATCATTCTTCAACACAAGCCGAATGTACAGGTCGTGCCACGCCACGACTCCAGACATCCCGAAGTTTGAAGAATCGCAGTTTGAATTGCGCACCAGAGCTCAATATTATATGACAGCGAAATACGCCATTTGGAGTTGGAGAACTTCGATGAGAAAATCCAGCAAATGTTTGGCATAAGGCAACGATGTGTCTTCAATCACCTCGATTCCTTCCATTGTATAGACGGGTTGCCATTCGACGCAACTCGCGACCTCTACGAAAAAGGTGTCGTGACGCGTACGATTGAGCAAGTTCTTGAAACACGTATAAAAGAAGTGGCGTCGTTAGAGGGTCTGAACGGTGGAATACAGCACTTTCGTATCACAGAGAACAGATACCAACAAGTCGCAGCCCCTACGAAGGCTTCCGGGAGGAAAGCTGTCTGCATTTGGTCTGCATCCGAAACCTGCAGCGAAACATGGACGTTGTTGCGGTTGCTACCATTGATACTGCTGGACACGTGTCCAGGTGCACTTCAAGTGTCTCTTGCTGCTAATCAGAAGCACGCCGTTTTGACCGTGTATCGAATCAATGCTGAGTGCTGCTTCGAAGTTGTGTAGTTGTTTACTTTCTTGTTCCTACAGTTGCTTGCCTTTCTTATAGAAATGGACCTCGACTCAGTCGATGCACTTTTGTCGTTTCTGGAAGACGCATCAGGTTAGATATAATAATCGTATCCATGGAATCTTATTTACAATTAAAGTGTTTTATATCTTTGCTTGATTTTGTGAAGAGTTCAAAATACGTCGCTAATTACATTAATACATGTGCTCAGTGTATGTGTTGCCTGTGTTATATGTATCTGGTCATTTCTATGAAATGTGTCTTCGCAAGACGCGTATTCAGTGATGACGCCCCAGGTGCGGCCGTCCCTGCCGTGGCTGCCCCTGACACGGTCGCCCTTGCCACAGCCGCCCCTGCTGCTATACCGTCCATGCCCATCCACGGCTTGGCCGCCCTGGAGGGCCTGGGCACCCCAGCCGCGCCCACCATGGACGGCCTCTGGGGCGTGCGGGGCGTGGACGTCCCAGTCGCGCTCACCAGTCTTGGTGAGCTGAGCGCACTGGACCTGGACGAGGTGATGGGCGCCCCTGTCGCGGCCACCCCTACTGCGGCCGCCATGCAAGACCCCATGGAAGACTCTGCCGCCGTCCCTGCGGCCGCCCGCGCCGCGGTGCACCAGGGCGGCCCCGCCGGCGTCGTGCGACCGGACCGCCAGCCGCCCTCCGGCGAGGCCCCGTGCCAGCGACGCCACTACCGGTGCACGGTGCCTCCGTGCACCGGGGAGACCGCGCTGGGAGACCTGCCGCGACACTTCCGGGACGTGTACCCACACGTGAGTAGAAACACAGTGTATCATACTAGGGCCACTATTTGTTCGATAGAAACTGCAAGCTGCATTATGTGTAGTGTCCTATCTGGCTTATCTTGATTTGATTCTTTCAAAAAATTCTGGTGTGCAATTACCTTTCAGTTTGCCCCACCGGCAGTTTGTCGTTCGGTTAAATTTTCGTTTTCTTTTTTACAGCTGGACGCTCTTGCGGAGTCTCGGCGGCTCCGTCTTCAGCAAAACCAGGAAGGTAATTAATTATCTTAAGAGAAGCAGATTGCTGACTTTATGAGTAGAAATCACAGCGAAGCAGTGTACAGTAACGAAGCAGTGTACCATTTTCCGCAATACGACCGTTAATCACCTGCATAGAAAACTTTAAAGCCTTTCTGGTATTGAACAATATGATGTGCGTAGTGATCTTTATGCGGAAAAGACACTTGGTCAATTAATATGCAAGTTTTTAACACTGTCCTTTTTTCAAAGGTCGTGATCGTGCACCGACGCCACGGCCGTCGTGTGCCTGCTCCTGCCACCGCGCTCAGCGCCGCTAAACCGCCGGCAGTTGGTGTGTTTTAAGCTTTGAAAACGTGTTTTTAAGTGACAAATACAGAAAGGTCAAACATACTAATAAACTGGGATACTTGGACGGCATTTTTCAATAGCATTGCGGCCGATTCACGTGGCAACCAGCGGTTCACAGTGCGACTGCTCAGGGGGAGATGCTGGCCGATAGGAATAACTTCTTGTACTTACATTTCGTCCTTACCATCATCCGCGACTTCGAGCAGGTAAATGCTGCCTTCCAGGGCACAGATGTGGAACCAAGCAGTCTTCATGAAACGCTGAGAATGCTACACTGCGGTCTCCGGAATCGGGTTCTCCCTGCTTCACAGAGGGAAAATAAAGCACCCTTTCATGAGCGGAACATGCTTCCGCTCAGTGAGATTGATTTTGGTGCAAAATTCGAGTTAGAGGCCGTGAAGTGCACCATTATCAAATCACCGGAGCTGCAAGCCGTGAAGGAGAGGTGCGTAGGGTTCATGGTAGAGGCAATCAGGCAAGTAGAGTCAGGGGGATGTCGTCCCGGTTCTCCCCATGTATTATTCGCCAATCAGCTTAACACTACCAGTGACGTCACTGGTGGATCACCAATCGGGGCCGGCCTGCCGGCCCCGATGCGGAGGTGCCGCAGAGAGCCGGAATAGGGATAGAAGCCGGTATGGGATTGGGATGGAAACTCAGCGAGATTAAAGGGACAAATAAGTGTTAGCAAGCAAATACAAATAAGCAAATACAAATAAGTGTTCATTCAATGTAGCCACCGTCTGCGCCGACGACGGCCTCGACGCTGGGGGGGGGGGGGAGCGCCTGCAGGTCTTGACAATGTTGGACATTTCCAGGTCCTCTCATAAAGTCATGATGCGAGTCTTCAGAGACCCCAGGTTGGGATGAGAGGCGACCTGGAGCCTTTTCCGCAAAGCGCTTCATAGTTAAAGGGACCATCCCACCTTAACATTAGTTTTGAGTTGAGATAGCCAAGTTTGCGGCCAGGCTCAGAAACCACCATTTATCCTGGTCGCAACCCACGCAGCTTTATGGTGTTCAATAAATTTCTTCCCTTTACTTGCAGGGTGGGACCAGCTTAGTCCCTATCTCTTAACCATTAGCGGTTTTTTGATGACGTCAGCAGTCATTTCAACGCCCGCCATTCCTTGAACCCGAGTTTTGCTGACCTTGAGCTCCCTTTTTTATCAACGTGAAATCCGTCGTCGGCGCTGAGAAAGCCTATTGCTTTTCATTTTAATTTGAATATTAGAAGATACCCACCACTGGAACTTGGACTGATATTATACCAAGGCCGAAGATGATCAAGCTGCCTGCTATATCTGGAGCTTGGTGTTCAACTTCAACATGGAATAAAAAACAAAATATCAAAGCAAACTGGATATGGTACTGCAAGTTAAAGTCCAAAGAAATTTGAAGAGCTGACAATTGACATTAATTCTTTTCCTGCAAGGTTTCCATATGGAGATCACAGTCACACCATGAAGAAATATTTTTGATGTTAACAGTTGAAAGGGGATTTATCTTCGTTTTGACGAAAGACGCTGCTGACTGTCTTTGGAAAAGGATGTCGGCATGAGGTGCAATTGTGCTTGTGAAGTGGTTATAACTGGTCTTTTCACAGTATTAAATTAAATGTGCCATTGCAGCCAAGTGTGTTATCATGTAAGGTAAAATCAAAACTACAATGTTGGTTTTACGAGCATTGAGAAGGCTGGTAGGTAACACCTGCCTGTGCTCGTAAATCATGCTGCCAGAGTATTCTAAATTAATTTTATCATACACTTTTGTTGTCCAGAATGGTTGCACTATTGTTTGGTATCATATTATTCCATGTAAATATGGTAGTGTAAAGTCCGACCAACATGTTACCAGATTTGAAGCTGTTACGTTACCTAAGTACCTGTTTTTTACTGGCGTGGTGAATGTCACCTGGATTTTGTTTTGAGGTGCAGACCTAGTAACTCTGACTACATGGGTTTGAAGCTATTATCTATTCTGTTTTTACTGGCCTGGGGAATGGCGACTGATGTTGTCCGTGGATGGCACTGAAACAAATTTTGAGTGTTTTGTACAGTGTTTTAATACAATGCTGAGGGCTGAAAGTTGTCTTGTTTAGAGTGGTGAAAGTTCAGGATATGCCAGCCACCATGGTGGGTCAGAGTTAAATGTATTGCAGTCAGTTCGGCTTCGGCAAGCACACGGATGGGCATACGCATCAAGACCTGCTCTGCCATACTTTCAGCCAATTTTACCTAGGTAAGTCTTTTCTTTTTTCTGCCAAAAGCTATGACATTGTGAATTTCAGCACTGTGGCCTGTGTGTAGCTTTCAGGAAAGCAATTCTAAATAAAGATCTGATAAAGTGCAAAATCAGCAATGCAGCCCTCTATTACATTTTCTACAACATCTTACTTGTTCCTTGCATGGAGAGAAAAATGCAATGTTATGAATTCGTTTATTCACATAATTTGACAAGCATGCAGTTACCTGCTACTATCACTGCACAAAACAGAGCAGAAAACATCAGTTGATCAAACACAAGACATAACAGAAGTTTACAACATAGGGCTGCCGAACCTGCTTCCTCCCACCACAGTTGATGCCATTTCCTAGCCTGGCTTGATGTGAGCACTGAATAGCTGCTTTGTCTAATTACAGCTACCATTCAACTTAAACTACTCTCTTTAAAGTAAGAGTGAGAGCGTTCAGTGTTCATAGCAGCTCGACAGACGACAGACAACAAACATCTTGACAAACCAACCAGTATTTGATTTGGCTAATGATTTATGTGCTTGTTGTATCATGGCCAAACTACTTTAACAGCAATAATCCCTGTTTCATCTTGATCTTGCTTTTATTTCCATTTGAACTCAGATCGTGAAACAATCATCTGAAGTGATATCAGATACTGGCTTCTGTTTCTCTTGAAAGCAAGTTAAAACAACAATGATAAACTAAGGCAGGAGATGTGAGTTGTGGCAGTAGATTTTTGATTCAACATATGTCAACGTTATATTGCTTGAGACCTCTGTGACAGACAAACAAATATTTAGTTTTTTGATAGTTTGGATTCCTGGCTTGATTTAGCAGATCAGCTGTGAACCTTGACTTTGAAATCACATAAATGTCATGGTACCCGAACGAATCCTCGCATGACATTTCTTCGTAGCACAATTTTTCGTCCGCATTTCTTCGTCTACAAATTTTCGTCGGTGCATTTATTAGTCCCTCAATGCTTACTCTTGCATATATTTGCGTTGAAGAAGAAATGCGAGCCGATTTTCATATACCCTGGTGCGAGACAAAGTAATGCGATACGAAGAAATGCCATAAGAATTGTCCTGGAATCCTTTATTGACCATCATATATTGACCTTGATAAGATAAACGCATCATTCGCGCAATATTTGTCGCACTTTGATACCAAACTATTGCTTCCAAATGCCGACGTAAAGAAAACCTTTATGTGACGTCATAGAAACAGCGGATTTCCCAAAAAGTAAACAAAAATAAAAGTCTTATATCTCGAAAACGGGTGAATCTTTTCCGGTAAAATTTGGTAGATGTTCATTTTCGCTCTTTGTGATTCACGCTACATCACTTTTATGCCAATTCATTAACTTTTTTGAAGGTGGGAGGGTCCCTTTAAAGGGACCCTCCCACCTTCAAAGAAGTTAATGAATTGGCATGAAAGTGATGTCGCTCGGTTCAGAAAGAGCAAAAACGAATATCTACCAAATTTCATCAAAAAATATTCACCGGTTTTCAAGATATTAGACTTTTACTTTTGTTTACTTTTTTGGATCTCCGCTGTTCCTAGCGACTTTATTTGAAAGTGCGGCATTTGTTGCGCGCAGAGCAGCATATACCACCGCGTGCTACAAAACGTTTTAGTCAAACATTTAAAAATCGGTAGATATCTGCGCTGACGTCACACATTCAGAGGGGTATTCCTATGCATTAGCCCCTCTGAATCAAAATGCTGCAATTTTGAAATTCAATATTTCCGATTTAAGGCATTTCTCGATGTTGTGAGTGCCGAAACCGGTAATTGTGAGCCAGGGACCCCATTTTGGCTATCTCAACTCAAATCTTATGTTAAGGTGGGAGGGTCCCTTTAAGGGGGTTGAGGCTGGGAGAAAAAAAAGGGGGGGGGGCTATTCTCACAATTTCACGGAGAAAATCACGAAAATTCTCACGATTTCACGATGTCACGGAAAAGGCGGCCTAAACACGATTTCAAGGTCATGTTCGGACGACCCCTAGCCCGTGCCTAGCTGAGTGAACGAGGGTTCATGTCTGTGGTGATAAACTGAATGTCCAATGATAAAAGCGCGCGTTAGACGGCGCCCAAAAAGGGCTTCAGGACTTTCCGAACACCCTGTACAATACGCAATATGCATGCATTGCAATATCTTGATTCTTGAATTGCGCTGTGCCAGTCTAAGGCTATGTATATTGGAGTTGGGTATATTTGATAGAGGGGAAGTCCATTGGTGTTAATTTTCATAAGCTTTATTTACGTTGTGATTATAAAGGTTGAATCAGATTGAACACTTTTTTTGTATGGGTATACAAATGAGTAAACATGCGAAGCAGTTACTCCTCGCCAGTGAAAACATTCCTGCAATGAAACTTTCTCGCTATGAATCGTGCTCCCCTTTCAATTATATTGATTTTCATCCTTACCTGTCGCATATAACCCGCCTCTTTTAGAAGAACTTCTGAAAGGTGTCACCACGACACGCATTATAAGAGACACCCGGCGCTCTCTGGAGGCACGCGGTGACCCCGGCACAAGCAGGACATACTGGATCAAGAGGAAGGACGTCACGAACATGGCGGCCTCCATCGGGGTCAATACGTCTGGCGACCCTACGACCACCAAAAACCCAACGAGGTCGTCAGCGTGAGCATGTATGCTGAGGAGATTCGCGCATCGGAACAGGTGAGCTTATTACGAGCGAGTTTGAAGTATGTAAGTGTTTGGCAGATTATTGAAA